CGATTTGATCGATTACAAAAACAGTTAGCATTTCATACGCTAAACCTAGCCACTGATATTTCCACTTCATGTTTATACACAGTTATTAGACACCATAAACAAGAATTTAAACGATTTTCTACTATTCAAGACAGGTTAAAGGTGTTTGTTTGAAAAAGTCTGTGACATCGATGTGTCATCTGATGCCCAGCCAAATTCATAGACGCGCATAGTTTTGATTTCTCTTTTGATCATAGTCTTTTATTCGGTGCTCAAGACAACTTTTTATAAACTATACTCTTTTAAATTAACTATGTACACAGCATATAGGACGTGTTATATGCTTTAGTTATATAGGTGGATCAAAAGTATATATAGGTGGTTCGAAAAGACCTCGACCTGGTTCGAAAAGACCTGGATCAAAAAGACTTTGGTTCGAAAAGACCGGTTACCGTGGTGGGAACTAAATTTCTTTATATAAAGTGAAACATTGCTAACTATGAGTAAATTAAGTATAAGAAAGCAACTACTTTTTCTGTTTCCTTGTTGGTCTATTTCTTTTGAGAATATTGTGTGTATTTTTTTTCGTTTTGTTGATTGCGTCCATGGAGTTTCGTGTCTGACAGTCTTCTCACCGCCGTTCATGCATACTTATTTTAATGTTTACTTGAATAAATTACCGTGGATACACTATGTAATTGTCAGCTCTATGGTGTGAAAATGAAGCGTGAATGAGATCAATTCGACTTTCAACAAAGCCGCTCTAAGTTTAGTTGGTATATTAAAAACTAGATGTTAGAATACGCCAGTAAAGTTGGAAATTCTATTACTGTCGGATACGGAATATTTTATCCGACAGTCCGTGGTTGGCAAAATGTTTCTAAGTTGCACTCAAATTGCGACTCACCTATAGAGAGCCGAGCGTTTACAGATGTTGTTGGTCGAGATTTGGGGCAACCAAGTTATAGATTAGGACCGTCTTATCAAACTTCTTATGTTTACAATGTAAAAGATTCAATGGAATTTATAACATTTTCAAAAATTTTTTGACTGTTGGACACGGAGTTATTTTGTAACCCTGTCCGACTGTCGGACACAGAGACACTTTGATCAAATTTGGACTGGCGTCAGAAAAAACTGTGCAATGTCACAGACCGCTTTGATATTGTTCTTGCCGTAATTTGCCTTGTTGTTTGGAGATGAAATGTAATAATAATAATAAAATTATTGAGTATTTTACAAAGTTTCATTACTTTACATTACTTTATCCTATTGAGAAATTAGATATATAGAATTTAACTTACGATGCGCGTAATGCACTAGTCAATGTAAATCCCTGCACCCCCTTAGCCGAGATAATTTTTACTTATCTTTTACTTATTTTATTATTTTAATATGTTTTATATAAATTAGCATAATAACTGTTCATACTTTTTGCTGACTGAAGAAAAATAAGAAGAATTTAGAAAGTTTTGGCACAAACCGTGATGCACTGAAGTACATTTTTTAAGCAATTGAAATATAGTATTCAATACAACGACTTTTGTATGATTAAAATAATACAATTTAGGATATTTATGTACTAAATTTGATTTATTTAACGGTGTGGAAGTAGACCATATCAAAAATCGGCTACTCTGTAGTCAGGCAGTATCATAAAGGGGCTTAATATTAAACAAAACTGACTTTCTTACCTCGTTAGCAAATTCAGAGTAGCCATGCGACACCACTGCCCTTCTTTTTCTCCTTTGAACGTCCCTTATATAAAAGCATTTTTTGTCTTTTAAACATTTTTTAATTACTAGATACAGGTTTCGTGCTACTCCTTAAACTCCTTGAATTTAATTCACGTTTTCTAGGGCACTTGAAAAGCTTTTAGATTTTAGCGAAACTCCTTGAAAACTCTTTGAATTTTTGCTTCAATCATTGCTTGCATGGTTCTGAAATAGATCTAGTCAGAAAGAATGGAAAATCTGAATGTTGGCCATTAGCAAGCACCATGTAAAACCTTGGCATATTTAGCTGAACATACCACTTGAAAATTCATTTTTGGGTCCGTGTATACTCCTTGAATAGTCCTAATTTCAAGTGGTTATCTCAGCACGAATCCTGTAGATAATAACACATTTGAGATCGAAAATAAGGCGGGAACTGAGATTTGCGTGTCTTCTGGGTAATTTTCAAGATGGTGGATTTTCAAGATGGCGGCTAGCTAGACCCAGGCTTTGCGCGACCGTGTAAAACATCCCCCACCACAGACACTCATGCTATGTCAAATATCGTGAAACTCCCCACCCAAGGAAAAGAAAAAAAATTTGTCAAATTCCCCAGGTATGTCCGGGGTTAGAAACATCATAAAATGTAAAATGATTCGGCCACTTATGGAACTCATTGTGAGATGCAAAAAAATCACCTTGAAATAACTATGCAAATCTACACATGACGTTTTCTCTTGATTGACAAAAAGACCTGGCCAATCTCTGATTGACTCCTAACAGTGAATGGGTCGTATCCACCTAGGAGAACAGGGCCATAGATCAGGGACTTGGGGTGTACAATTTCTATGTCATCTCTTCTGGGCCAGTAATAAGTGATAGCACCTTTAGATTGCAATGCATGGAGAAACTATAATAATATATATTAATAATTTATAATATATTAAAATTATACATTAAATTTATATGGCGCTTAAACTATAACATTTTAAAGCGCTCTACAAAAATAAAAATAAAAATACTGAATTGAAAAAAAAAATATATATATATATATTTACAAAATAATTAAAAATTATTTGTGTTTGATAATAAAAAATCGTAAAATTCAGAGATGATCATACAATTGAGTCAATAATAAGCTTAAATCTAAGCATTCCATCAGACACAGCTTAAAGCCCTCCAACGTAGTACTTCTTGATGTAATCAACAACATAGTAGCTCTCACACTCTGGCTTAGTTCCTGGAAGCAGGTTCAATCTCTCCTGGTGCAGCTCAAGAATCATTCCTTCGCGGAACGCTGGCGCTGGTTTCTTTGTTTGGTTTGCAGCATAAGGTTTCTGTAAATAACAAACGTAATAGAAGTACCCTACTTGAAATGTGGCATCCACTCCCATTGCACAGAACTTTGATGGGTTGGTACATATCTTTCCACATCTATCAGCTGTTGCTGAGATGCAAGAAAAACAATGGGATCTGGATGAATGTGAACTTCACGGATAAAAAGTTCTTTCAGCGACTGCTCATCTTCCTTTGCCTTGCTAATCACTCCTAACGAACTGTATCGACTCATTAGCATTTTGGCCAACAGATGAAAAGAATAAATTGAATTCGTTCACGACTAACTTGTCATCTTTACTGAATGATCTACGAGCATTCAATTTCGATGGAATGTACATCTTGATTGTCTTCCACAAACAATTAGTATTGTTGACATTGTTTTTATTTTGTTCATGCACAATTTCCCTCTCAGCCATTATTATCTTGCGTTTTACTTCTCTTTTAAATTTTTTGTAAGCTGACCAGGCCAGAGGGTCATTGTTTTTTTTTTGCGAGTTCTCTCCAAAAATCTCTTGTCTTCATTAAACTTTTGATTTCCGGTGTTACAAATGGGCTAGGGCGTCAACGTCAACGTCATTTAAAACATCATTCAATAAGATGTTGAAAGCAAAAAATTTATCTTCGATATCAGCGAATATAGATATAGTTGACCAGGGTACAAAAGATGTAAGCTCTGAAAGAGTTTTTGGGTCATAGCTCTTAAAGGATCTCGTAGTAACATAGGTAGGCTTTGGACGGTCGTTCTTTAGGCGCAAAGTGGCAAATACCAGGTCATAGTCACTTATAGATGATGGGAATACACTTGAATTCTGTATTAGTTGGTCATTTGTTGTTATAATGACATCAAGGAGTGGATCTTGATGACTGCGTTACTCTCGTTGGTTGTGAAATTGCCTGAGGTTAAATGAACAAAATGTTTCTAATGCAAGTGCTCCAGGATGGAGTTTGGACAGGCAAAGGTGGGGAGCTTTATAACCGTTGTTTGGATGTCTGTCTCGTAAAGTCTGGCATTTGTTTAGCAGGTTACCATGTGGCAAACCAATCATAAAATACCTTCTTTTTCTTTTTGGTCCTGATACCTCCCCTACAAAATGGAAACGTTGTGCAATAGTACCCAGGATCTTCAGGACATTACCCATTAAGATGTTTGCGGGCTTCTGCTATAGAGTTTCGGTCTACAGTCCGATCAATTAGGAAGTACCGGCTGTCAATCAATGTCACCATGTTGTCAAGTGATTAAGAGAGGGCAAAGCCAGACGATCATGTGACTTGATCAATATTAGCGTGTATTTACGTTTTATATGATGCATTTCGATTTTAAAGCAAGTTATAAAATCCCCTTGCGATTGTGCATGTCCGTGAAACTCGATGGCTGCGACAGCCTAATTACGTATGCCAAAATCTGATTCTGATACTAGTAAACCGTCCCAACCAGGTAATCCGGTCTACCCTGCCTCCAGGGTCTTGTTCATGGTAAAAGTGGTTCTTTAAACCACCTTGATGATTTTTTGACAGCTCATCGGGTGTAGTCTTAGCATGTCTTCTTCCTTTCTTGTCTTTTTTGAGCTTGAAGCTTGATGGTTTTCATTTGATTTGACCTTCACGTCTTCTTCTACACCGAAACTGTAAGATTCATAGAAGAGAAAATGGGTGGCATGGATTGAAAACTGGACATTTTTTCGGGCACTATAAATCACTGGAAGTGATGGGTTGCTTGTGCTCAACATTTTCCTTTCCTTTGAGCTCTTTGTACCCCTCATCTCTTTTTAGTGCGAAGTTCACAGTTCAGCTGGAAGTAAAACTCCACTCTTAAAAAAAAAAAAAAAAA